CGCAAAATTTCATGAATAGTGGCCACCTCCAATGATATGAAGTGGCAGTGCTGTGGTTACCGGTCTACATAGTTGTATTACTGATTGAATTCTTTGCTTAAACAGCAACAAACATATTCAAATAAGAACATAGAGCATGGTCTGATGTAGGAAACCCCCACAAGAAATCTATTCTTCCCGACTTTCTCTTTGGAATTTGAAATCGAATAAGCGACCCTTTCGAGTTTTCTGATTTCAAGCATTCCTTTATGCTTTTCTGAGGGGATCGGTAACTTCTGGGGGGACTACTGCATTAATTCTTCTTTTTTATTGTTGTATTCAGCTGCACAGGGCGGAAGTGGTGTAGTGGCAAGTGGCACGCTTACCACGCGAGCGGTCCGGGGATCAAATCCTGGGTCGTGAGTCGCCCGGGCCAACCAAGCCTTCCATCCCTCCGGGGTCGGTTAATTGGTACCAGACTTGTCTGGGAGGATAAAAACACTGACTTGTACATCGGCTGGCCCCCGCAAGTCATTGTATAGGCCACATCGCATTCAAACGCCACTACGAATGTACAAATGGAAGTAGAATGCGTGCCGCATCCCAAAAAGGGATTGATCAACGGCAAATGCTTTATCCTTTTCCTTTATTTAGCTGCACATGCCTGGTAACGCTCGTCATTTTACCAAGTTTAACTATGTACTTTTCACTAAGCGGAAGTGGTGTAATCGCAAGGAGCGCCACTTTCCAGCTGCACGATCCGCAACTCATGACTTGCGCCGAATCACGGCGAGGGTAGCCGGTCTTCCAAACTTCTGGATTGATTAACTGGTAAAAAAAATCGTGTTGAAAAGTGAAGGTAAGAGTGAAAACTCGAATGGTGGACTGGTTCCTGGACACGCAAGTAAACCGCATACAAATGTCGTCAAAATTCTGACTGGAATTGAATACGCGGCGCATACCAAAAAAGAAGTGGCCAGTGAATAATGCCTTTCACTTATCTGTCTCAGATCCCACAGGGCATTCCTCAAGTTCGGTCTTAGCAGTATGAGGACAGAGATTAGCTTTAGCTTTTCGAACTGCAACAGCTTACTACATGCAAGCTTTCTTACCCAGTAATCCATCAAAACGCAAGAAAAAGCTGACTGCTGACTAGTTCAGAGATCATTTGTACTCCGATGTTCGCCCTTCTCATGCGGTAATTTAAAAAAATCACCTGCTCACTTCGCACTTTCTCATGCACGCGCGATGCACGTGAATTCTAAATGGCGTGCATTCCATCTCTCCAGCTGTTCCAGCGCACGTTTTTTTCCCATTTTCAAAGGTCAATGCACGATTAATATTTACGCTACGCTAAGGGCACTGAACTCACGTGATGTTTTTATATACCTTGAAAAATTTTCTAAAAGTTAGAAACTCAGCAAACCTTTCGACATAGAGTTAACCAGATCGCGTTCAGTTTCAGCGCCCATTCCCGTAGTTGTGGATCGGCGATTGTCATTAGTTTAGCCGGTTGTGGATGCCAATCCATTGGTGTGCATGACATCATTTCACTTCCGGCAGGGCTGAAATCTGGGCCTAATGACTTTCCAAGACCAAAACAACTAAGTCTGAGAGAATGAAAAAAAACTACTGGAAGAAAAGACAACGAAAAATCATAGCACAAGGAAAAAAGCACCAAAATTTTGTTAGATTGAAATCCAATAAACTGAAATTTTTGAAATTCATTCGAATTGCCCAAAAATTGAGTAACGAAATCGGGCAAAATTTTTGACCTTTTACATGGCGCGAATAGAAAATAAGTTCAAAATACTGATATTTGATATTTATGTTTTTAAGTTTCACTACTGCATGGAAACGTCCAGTCACGCCTTTTTTCTGACACGACTTTTCAAGTACCCGTTCAGAACGAGTTAGGAGGCTTCTTGGAGCGTGGAGAAGCCAATACCCGTCATTCCCTTCATTCTGGACTCTGTGATCTCAGCCCTTTCGCCGCTGGCGGTGGCAATTGCCACGGTCAAATTCAAAGGTCTGGATTGCCGGCACAACAGAATGTAGTGTTCCAGTGAGTGGCCGCTTCAAATTTTTTCCTTCCGAGTTTCGCTTTGCACCAGCCATTTATTATGTGTTGCTGTTGGCATTATAACTTCGTATGGAATTGCAATAACGAAAGTTCTACCGGAAGTGGTGTAGTGACAAGTGGCGCGCTTACCACGCGAGCGGTCCGGGGATCAAATCCTGGGTCGTGAGTCGCCCGGGCCAACCAAGCCTTCCATCCCTCCGGGGTCGGTTAATTGGTACCAGACTTGTCTGGGAGGATAAAAACACTGACTTGTACATCGGCTGGCCCCCGCAAGTCATTGTATAGGCCACATCGCATTCAAACGCCACTACGAATGTACAAATGGAAGTAGAATGCGTGCCGCATCCCAAAAGGGATTGATCAACGGCAAATGCTTTATCCTTTTTATTTATCTTTTGTTAAAACATACAATGTTAAGAGAATATGACTTATTCGAATTTTCGGTTCGATTTAGAGATCCAATTTTGAGGAATTTGACGTTTTTTTTCCAATAAGCTAGAAATTCAAGAAACGGTGCCAATTTCACGCATCCCTAGTTCCTAGTTTGTGATCGAAAATCGTTGTGGTATTAATTATTCGAGCACGTAAATTCAAACCTCAGTTACTACACACTTGCAGAAGTGTAGAAAGTCAACCACCCCATGTCGAGTCAGTGCCGACTAAATCTCACCTGCAGACTCTCGCTCTCACGGCTATAGCGTCGCCCGCGACAAGAGCCACAGGGGCTCCTCAGCTCCGGAGCCAGACGGCCGTCGCCCACCCAGCGCAGGCAAGTAACTACCCAGTTCGTCTACCCGCGCTCAGACACCGCGCGCCCCCCCGCACGGCGGCCGGCGTGGATCCACTAGTCGCTTGAAATGACGATGGGCTATGAGGTGAAACTAAGATTTCGTGGTTAGTAGGATGCCTGTCCGCGTCGCCTCGCTCCCCGCGAGCAGGACGGGCGCCGCAACCGCGTCACATCCGCGCTACGCACTCCCGCCTGCACTCGCCGCGACCTCCGCCGCCCGGAATTGCTTTTGGAGAATATTAGGTCCGAAGGGCTCGAACCACAAGAACCGGGAGTCGTACCACAGGCTACGCCCCTCATTTAGAAGGGAGGGGATGCTTGTTTGAGCGTCGGTAATTATTTTTCGAAGTTGAGCGAATAGGAGCTTCGACGCATGTATAATGGCAATAGGAGGAAATTGTTGTCTTCTAAAGATAATGTGTGTGGGCTGTAATATTGTATGCAGGCTCGCTTTCAGGTCTCGTACATGACTTGTTAAGATCATGGCGTATCGCTTTATCTTTTCGTATTAATGGTCGACGCAGTTCCGCCTTACAAACATGGGACCTGAAATTTCCGATTAATGTTCGTAAGACAATGAATTCAGTTTGTATATCTAAACTTGCTGCTCCTTTTTGTGTTACATGTTTTTCGATCCGAGTGACCCTCGCTATTTTTCGAGGAAGTTTTTCTCTCTGGTGCTTGATGATTGTTTACAAAGTGATATTATCCGGAATCGTTGCAGTAGTGTATGTGCTAAAGAGGCCTTTCTGCTAACCGATACATGGGAACAAAATTGGCAGACAGGAACAAACAAATACCTGGATCATATCTCATGGGCATATCGACAAAAGTCTTCGAGTCATTATATAGTTCGTGAAAATTTACGGCCATTAGTAAAGTTCCATTACAGTAGATATACCTGAAAAACCAACCGTAAATTTTTGCTCAGTTCTCTACACAATAAAAACTCTTGCATGCTTCACTCACGAGTTATTTGAATTTTTCGTATCACAAACTGGTACCGGTTCATTTACCCAGTGTATTTGATCGAGTATGGATAGAGCAGCGACGGATGAGCAGAAACAGAGCAACAGCGCCGTAAATCTGAGCATCCTGCTTCTGAAAATGAACCTTGAGGTTTTACGGAACATTTGCTCAGAGTTGTTACACTTGTGATGTCAGAATGTGAACGTTCACGAGCTGGGCAGCATTTCGAGCACGTGAACTCAAGCCTTAGTTACTACACACTTGCAGGAGATGTAAAAAGTCAGCCACCCTCGACAAACGAAGCAAGAGGGACTGCTTGTGGCGCGTACGAGGAAATGGGATCAGCGAGATTGGCGACGATCAGTTGCCTCATGATAAATGACCGACATGCGGATCTCACAGGCGACGGCTGGTGCCAAACTATGGCCCAGTGTCTGCGTTTCACGTCCAACAGTTGGGTGACGGAGCCAGGAACCAAGTGACGATGATGGACTGCTGATAAACACAACTCTCATGTGGGTATTAAACTTTGTTCCGATCCCAACAACATTATTCCAAGCGCAGCTTCACTTTTGAAACTCAATTTGAAAGAGAAATCGTCTTTGAATCAGGATCGTATATGTTATGCTATGATTGGAACCTCACTGTAATCCAGGCTGATCATTTAGAACTTTTGTGAAAGTGGCGCAGTGGCAACAGGCGCTGCGTACCGCACATGCGCCTGCACTCCCCAAGGACGCGCCTTCGTCCTTGACATAAACACTCGATGCGAGCTTCTGTCCCCTGAAAAAGTCCGAAGGTGTGGCGCATCCTTAGAAGTTAGCGACAGCTTAACTTCCCCTATTTTCCTTTTTTTCACCCTAGAGCACACCCGGACTGGTAATGCTTCCTTTCGCAGAAACAAAACCAAATAAAAATTTTGCCTAATTTTCGGGGTGTAAAGCGAGACGTTCCCCGCCAATGAGCCGCCGGTGTACAAAACTCCACTTTTCCGCTGTCGCAGCTGCGCGCGCGTGTGAGAGAGCGGAAAGGGTC